TTTTGGCCATTTTGGCTAGGGACAGACATTACACATAAACCAGTTTAAGTGATCAGAACCTGATTTAAATCTGTAACAGAACAGATATTCAATGTGCATAAATCAGTTTATAAATGGCCGAAACTGGTTTGAGATAAACCTGGCTGAATGTAGTATCAGACTTAACTGATTTGGCTCAAACTGGTTTATGCAATGATTGTCCCAGACCAGACCCCTTCCTGGTTTAAGTTAAACCAGACTCCCCCAACATCCAGGCATGCTTCCTGGGCTGAGTGGGGCTCTCTGCTCCAGCCACAGGGTGAACCTTGCCCCTCTACTCTAACCCGAACAGGGACCTGCCCTAGCAGAGACACCAGCCTAAGGCAAAGTGGGCAGGGAAGAGTTTAATTCTTCCCTCCTTCCCCCCTTCCCCCACTGCATTTGGTATCAGCCTGGGGCTTCCCCTTTGTGAGTGTGAAGCTGCAGGGGTGCAGTATGGAGTCCTGGGGATAGAAGCAGCCAGGCAGGCTGTGCAGGGCTGCACTCCTCACCCCCAGCACAGTGCTGGCTGCCTCTATTGCAGGGACTCTACACTGCGCCTGCAGCTCCATACTTGCAGCAGGGAAGCCCCATGCTGGACTCTGCGTGGAAGCAGGGAGCGGGTCTCCCTCCACTCCCAGCAGAGGGCAGGGACCTGCGCAGCAGGGAATGGGGGAGGCAGCAGGCTTCAGTGCAGAGACCAGATCACTGACGATGGGGACCAGATCCCTGGCAATGGGGTAGGCTCCGCTCCCTCAATTTGCACAGCGCTGGCCAGAGCTGCACTTATGCCAGGCATGAGCACTCTGACCTCGCTGCCTGCTGTTGCTGCCAGGCAGCAGGGCTGCACGCCATGGCGGGGAGGGAGTGTGTGGGGGGTCTCTACACCCCCACACCTTGCCCAGCTGAGCTCCACACTCCCACTGCCCCTCTGGGGGGAGGATGAGAAGGGGGAAGAGTTCACCCCAGCATGGAACAGAGTCTCCCCCTGCTCTGGGAAAGGGGGAAAGGAGTGAAGGGGGAAGAGTCCCTCTCTGGGGCTGGGCAGCATCCCATAGAGCCCCACCCCCACCCTCCCCAGCCCACAGCAATGGGGGAGAAGCAGGGGGAAGAGTTCCCCTCTAGAGCCTGGAAGCCTCACAGAGCCCCCCTCCCTACCCCACCACAAGGGAAGGGGCAGGGGGGAGGAGGAGGGTGAAGAGTCCCTGCAGCACCAAACAGGGCCCCCTTCCTGGCCCCGCAGCAGTGGAGGCGAGGGAGGAGGGGGAAGATTTCCCTTCTGGGACTTGGCAGCCTTGTGTGCTGGGATTGTTCCCGCTGTCAGGGAGCTGCTGGGGGTGGGCCTGCTGGGGCCTGGCCATGCCCCACCTCCTCACCTCAGCTTTGCTGTGGAAGGGAGGGCTGCTCTAGTGCCCCTTGGCTTCTGGCTTGAGTCACTGCCGGTATGTGCCTGCCTTTCCTGAACAGAAAGGGAATGTCTATCCACTCGTAAACTGATTCACTCTCTGCAGGTTAGACTAACCTGCAAAGATTGAACCAATTCAGGCTCAGGCTTCTTGAATGTCTGTCCGTAGCCTCTGAAAGCAGTTTATGTGCACTGAGCTTTTGTTGTGTTACAGGTTTAAACCAGTTTCTGATCACTTATACTGTACCAGAGTGTATGTCATTTCTGTCTCCAATTTAAACATACTTAATGATAATTTTTTCATTTAAATCAATCAGAGATTCAGAAAAATCTGTGCAAATTTGTTTCTTGTGGGATGTTTGTTAGCGTATACTTGCAGGTGAGATCTAAACTAACTTAGGAAGTTTCTAAACCTAAGAGGCCTGGCTTATGGAATTACTTCAAGCAAAATTAAAACGAATTCTGATTTCTAAACAAAAATACACCTGAAACCATCAAACCCCAATTTTGGCACCCCCATACTTTAAAAATGGGCTGGAAAAAAAAAACTTAAAAAAACCCAAGGTTCTGAACTTTGTCATGTGCTGAATGCCTTAAATAAAGAAGGAGACAGAAACATCCAGCAAATAACTGGATTTTCACATTCCCCCAAGCTCACTTGCTAAGTTTTCCACAGAGGCCTATCCATGGCTTTTGAACTTATAGCGAAGGTTTGAGAAGTCTGGCAGGTCCCAAAAAATAGAAAAATAAATATCGATAAAAGCATTCACTTTCTCTCACTCCATATGCACACACAAAAGATGTCAGATTACTGAATAAAAAACATCCTAGAAATTTATAAAGGCATTATTTTTAAAAAAGAAGAGAAAGAGAGACACTTAAATTTTATAGAAAAATAAACAAAAGCATTCTACCATGAGCTACAACAGGCTGGTGGGAGGAAAGCATAAGAATGAAGGATCCAAGAAGAATTGTGCCATACCATTCTAATGAGAGAAAAACAATCTAAGGTGTTGCTTTAACATGCTGAGAAAAGGGATGAGACGCACATGAAAGGGATAGCAAGCTTCTCTTCTACATAGATTTATATTCATAAATGATTTGGAAAGGGGGCGTAAATAGATGGCTAAACTTGTGGATGCCACCCTGTTATCCAGCATGTTAAAAACCAAACCTAACTGTTAAGAACTGCAAAAGGTGTTGTATATCTGAGTGAACGGGCAACTGGCAAATACATGTAGGAAACAATAACCTTAGATGCACATACCCAACAAATAGAGGGGCAAGGGACAGTTTAGGCAGACCCTGCATAAATACTCTTCCCCTTGGCATCCACTCTATGCCACTATCAGGTACAGAATGGTGGGCTAGATCAGTGGTTCTCAACTCGGGGTCCGCAAGCAGGTTTCAGAGGATCTGCCTGGCTTGGGGAGGAGCCATCTGAACTTCCTGGGGCAGAGGCAAGTGCTGAGGAAGAGGTGGGGCAGGGCAGCAGCAGGGGTGGGCCCCTGCCGCTCCATCCCACAGCCTCCATCTTGTAGCCAATGTTGTGGTCAGGTGGGTGAGGCTCCGTGCTGCTGCTCAGATAAGTGGGGACCCAGGGCTGCCCCCCACCAAGTCCTGTTTGCTGCACCCAGGACCATGCATGCTGGGGTGGGGACCCTCAGGAAGAAAAAGGTTGAGAACCCCAGGGCTACATGAACCTCTGGTCTGACCCAGTATGGCAGCTCTTATACTGTTATTGTACATCCTCAAAATCAGAGCATCTGAGTGCCTTTCAGTATTTTAAACAGTGCTTAACAGTTTTCAAACGCAACTCACTCTGTTAAAACTATTCCCAAGAAGTAAATCACATAGGTAAACACATTGCAAATGCAATGTACTGTTTTCCTCAGGAAGAGTTAGGTTTGTTCCTTTTGTTTAATGCAGGGGCAGGCAATTATTTTGGGTGGAGGGCCACTTACTTAGTTTCGGCAAGCCATTGAGGGCTGCATGACAGGCAGCTAGGGGCAGATAAACCTATTCATTTTCTAAATTTTTTAGGGTCCCCACGGGCCAGATAGAATGGCCTGGCAGGCTGCATCCAGCCCACAGATTGCATTTTGTCCACCCCTGGTATAATGTATGTACAGAAGACAAAATAAAAAGTGTATATTACAGTTAGAGCAATATGTGGCAATAGTCCTTAGTTTCTAGAACATTCCTCCCCATCCCTTCACTGTTGTAAGATCCTTAAAATCTGTGATGTCAGACCTCAGACACTTTCCCAGATAAAGTATATAACCATAATCTACACTTAATCCTGCAAGTAGGGAATCACAAAAATTAAGCTTCTTGGTCATGGGAAATAGTGTTGCAGTTTTGATGTTATCTCAAAACATAATGATCATTACCCAGCAGACCCCGTCATCCTATGCAAATAGAATGATACCTCTGGCTGGCAGTGCCCCCCTGCAAGTATATTTTCAGGGACAAGAAATGTGCACTTGCAACATGGCAATGACATTCTGTCTTGAGCCCAAAACTTCTACCCAAGACGGCTAAATGCTGGGTAACATGGAAGATGACCTTACTCTGCACTCACTTAAAATCTGTTGATGATATGTAACCAGTCAACATGACAATCAACTTGTTTCTATTTTGTACAGAAAGCAACCAAAAAGCGGTTCCATGCATATTAAGAATCCCTTCATAACTGGTAGTTAAACAAAGTAACATCTGCAGAGACTTAATGAACAAGAGAGCTAAATGCTCTAGTCTCAAGTTAACAAGTGTTCCTTCAGTTCCAAAACTGGAGTTTAGATCAGTATCCACTATGTATGGGTGCCTATATACATGGAGCGAGGCTGGTCCAATGAGCTGTAATTACAGCGTGTCGGAGCAGACTTTATTAATTGAGTCTGCTGGAGCATGATAATTACCGTGCTCCAGCAGACTCCAGCATCTTGTATATTAGCATCCCCACCATTTTTCAGTGCAGGGAAGCTGATACACAAGACGCTCTGGGCACTTTAATTAGAGAAGCTCTTGGAGCCGCTCTAATTAAAGTGCACCTCCCCCCTCCATACAGAGCACGTGTATAAACGCCTTATGTCTTTGGGGCTCATGTGTGTCTGACACTGCACAAGCTTTAACTTTTCAGTTATCCCATATAGTATTATTTTTGATGGAAAAAAAAAAATCTCCCAAAGCACGAGGAAAATAGAAAGCAGCGTGAGGGGAATACTTTACTAAATATGAATCTTTAAATAATCACACATCAATAAAAATCAAGTAACCCAAGTCACTTAGAGCTGTCTGCATTCTGGCTTGGTGGAAGCTGTGAAAACAAAGGGTCTGTTTTCCTTTGTTTGCAAAAAATGGGCTAATAAATCAGTTATTGAATTATTTTTCTCAGATGTTCAGCATATTTAAATTCATAATTACCTATATTTTTTGGGAAAAGTGTCCCTTTTAGGAAGCTTCTGAGCAAGTATTAATTGCAAAGTGAAAATAAGAATTCAAAATACAGGTTATACAGCTTATTTTCATGATACAGGATGACAGAAAAATGAAAAGAAAAGAATTAGAGGTTTACCTTTTCTAGCTTTTTAGCCTCAATGTGTCGCAGCACCTGTTCCCTCCAATCATGAGGGACTTTACTTTTTCCTGGAGGATCTAATAACGAATGTTCAGAATTAACCCTTGGGTTTGATCTTTTTGAGGGACTAGTCCTTGAATAATTGAAGTCACTAACTGACATAGTTCTCTCTGGTATTTCAGTCACTGAAGGGCGAGCACTTTGAGGCCTGGATACATTTGGACCATCAATGCTATAGGTTCTTGCAGAAAGAGGCCTCTGTTGACCAGACAGCATTGTTGGAGCTCTTCCTATTGAATGCAAATCTCTATAGGTTAAGTAGTCCCCTTCAGGAATCTGGTTACGTCTTGGGGGTCCAGTTTCACCCACGTTCACACAAGCTGAGGAGGATACACTGCTTTGTCTCTGAAGAGTATTTCTGGATGCTCCTGGAAGAAGTCTGTCGCCTGGGGGAATGGCCCACATTTCTATATGCCTTCCACCCATATGCCTTTGATGAATGTTATATGCAGCACTGGCTCGAACATTATTATGATTGGAGAAATTCATGTTGGCAGAATGTTTTATGTAATTAGAGGTTTCTGTGTTGTCTGACCTAGGGAGACGTTGAGGAGGTAAGCTGCCTTGTTCTACTTGAGTATTTTGTTTTTGGGGCCACAAGGTATCTTTGGCTGTTGCACTGCTACTATACTGGATGTTATACTGAGGCACACTGAACATCTGCGCACCACTTGCCACTGGTCCTCTAACTACATTAGCACCTTCAGGATTGTGATTTGAATCAAACTTGAACACAGTTTTTGTACAAGAAACTAAATCAGATGACGACGATGATCCTGGAAATATCTGCAAAGGCTGGTCATAAAGAAGAGTGGCAGACTTGCTTCGGACTATATTTTTGCCATCTGTGCTAGCAGATGCCAATTTTACCACTGAGTTTGGCTGCTGGGATTCACTGTTATTAACAATATCACATATTTTTAGAGCACCAGTGTCCATATTGGTGATGCTGTGAGATTTTACCACTTGGCCACTTCGCTGTGGAGACAGATCTTCAGTGCTCTTTGAAAGAGGTATCTCAGTAGAAGGATCAGTATCAACTGTAGTGCTTCTCTTAAATTCATCCTGCCCTGGAGGCTGTGATGCTTCCTCAGAATGTCCGTTCACCTTATTCACAGGATATTTATTTCCATTTTCCAAGAACTCAGTTTTTTCTTTCATGTTATTGTTTAAAAAGCCCTTTACTGACACTGTTTCCTGTGGTTTTACTCTTTCCACAGCATGCAATTGCACTGTATCTTCACTAGACGATTTATTGATATTCATATTTATTTGGTCTAGCTTGTGAGATTCCTCAGTGGCTGTGTTTAGATCAACACCTTTTTCTATTAGAACTAATCTCTCTTCAATACTTAAATCATATTCAGTCATATTTATAATCTTCTCTTGTACACTGATTTTTTCTTCTGCTATGATGCTTAATTCACCTCCATTTTGCAAAAGGTTATTCAAATTTTCATCTTCTTGCCTAAAAAAAGAAAGAAAAAAAAGAAAAAGCATTTTGAAAAAAGTATCAAGAGCATTAACCCATTTTATAAAAATTTGCTTCAGAGATCTTGTGCATCATGGTGAACATAAATAGGAGGTTCTTAAATGGCATCATGAAAGTATTCTGTAGATATATTAGAAAAATAGAAGTTCAAAGGATCCAATTATTGTTCCTTAATATTAACACCACAGAAGCTGTTTCTTGCATATTAAAATTTACTTTAAAATATATAAGATAATCCAAGTTCTTTTGTGATACATTTCAGGAGTCCCATTTTATTAGTTTTTGAAACATGAAAGTATCTTAAATTATTTAATCAATGAAAATAAAAGATTCAGACTGGTCAATAACAACAATTTTATCCCAAAATTCAAGCAAAAAGTTTCCTTGTTATATCTCTTCAAATATCTGTTTAGTACTATACACTGTTTTACAAACCTGACTTTGGAAATTACATCAGTGTGTGTTTCTTTTTCTGGAGAACACAGTGAAGTGTCTTGGCTACTGTCCGTATTTAGAGAAACTGAATCTGACATTCGAGAAGGAGAAGAACAGTTGCTGTTATTCTGATTGCTGTTCTGGGTGGCTTCATCTGATAAGGAATCTGCATCTTTAGAGTCATCTAAAATAAAATGTTTTTGTTTAGTTATGCACATATTGAACTTCTTTAAAAATCACCAGACAGACTCTCCCTATTCCTGAAGGAGGATGTTTGTACCTGAAAGCTTGCAAAGAGCAAGTTTTCCAACTATTTAGTTGGTCTAATAAAAGATACCACACCTACATCCAAAGAACCTCGTCTGCTTAAAAATCATCAAGTATTCTTGTACAGTATAATGCTCTCACCAAAAAAAGTCTAATGTCTTCATACTCTCTTAAACAGGCTTGTAGCTACCATATGAAGTTCCTCTGCAAAGTTCATTTTGGTTTGTATAACTTACAGGAATGTATTTTTGGCAATGGCTCCCATTTTTTAAAGAAAAACTGGGTAAGTCTATGCAGCACTTGTCTAACACTAAAATGTAGCTTGCTACTGTTTTCTGGGTTTATTGGTCATGCATCAATCCTACATTATAAAATCTTTTGCAAGAAACATCTATCAAGTTAAGTTTCTATTTTTATAGAATGAATCAACTGCATGTACTACTCAAGCCTCATCAGCTTTTTTCAACTTCATATAACGTGAAATTGCAATTTGGAAACACACAAAATTGATGTTTTCTAACATTATATAGATGCTAAACAGCTAAAAAAAATTTTGGAAAGATAAGAATCTTTGGAAACTACTGGGATGTGCTCCAGATACATTCAAGTTCTGCTGAACAAATTTTCTAAATATAGCAACAAAAGAGGAACAATGCTTTTATGCCTAATTGTAAACCAATACTTTTCTAGTGCCTTCAAAACTATGCAGGGCCAAATTTAAGTTATATACACCTTGCACATGCTTGTTCTTGCATAACGTCTGCATACAGGCTTCTAATGATTGTGTAAAAAACATGATTTGCATGCATGGGGCAAAGGAGCCATGTCCATGTACACATAAAAAAAAGTCCTGCATACATAAATCAGGTGTAGGCAAGTATAAATACACTATCTTATACTACATTGAAAGTGTGGCTTCAAGTGGTTAATTTGGGTAACAAAAGGAAATTTGTCAAGCTGTTGTTCAGATCTTTGGATGAAAACACAGAGAGTTTGCCCACAAGCAAGCACTTTTAACTCAGTGCATCACCCAGCCATCAGAGCCTTTAAGAATATAATAGTTAATTATCAAGTTCCTCTTTCCTTTCCACATTCTTTCACATGTGGATCCAGAGCAAGACGAAGCCATGCCACTATCCCTCTATGGTCCTGAGCACCTCATCTCTTTACAAAGAGTATCCAAAATGCTTTGTATCTAAAAGGAAACGAACTTGATAGGTATTGGAGAATGTCAAGAACAGAAAGAGCTGCCTTTCCTTTTTCCTACCTTTTATATTTAGTGTCCCCAAAATCTGGGTCTGCCATTCCAAAATGGTTACCCTTGCTAGAAAAATTATCATCCAGAGAACCAGATTTGACTTTCAAAACCTGAAATTTCCTTTTGAAAGGAAAAGAGTGAACAAAGTGGCTTTGGAAACAACAGCTGCTTGCTTTATTATTCTTTACTGTGCTTTACTGGAAAACCCTGTGCTTTACTGGAAGAAGCAGAGCATCACTTCAACCCGGCTCCGGAGCATCTGTATAGATCAGGTGTTTGAGTGGGGCTTTTTGGTGCTTTCATCTAAAGCTGAGTCAATTAGCTAATTAGATAAAAGCACCAAAAAAGCCCCACTAAAGCGCCTGATCTATACAGACATTGGGCAAGCTAGGTCCATCTAACATGATGCACTGGGCTCAGTGTGGGAGCACATGGAGTGTAAAGTGCCATTTTTGGTTTATGTGGGATTTTGTTTTGTTTTGTTTACATCTGCAAGCAGGCAGTTACTAAACCAAATCTGCATGAAAAGCTTGAGAAGTAGCATCTCCCCAGGATAAGGCTGGGGGGTAAGGGTTCAGGTAACTGGCACTAAAACAAAAACAAGAGAAACACCACAGCAAAAAATCAATGTTGGGGTAGGATTTCCTTGGAACAAGCAAACTTCTCTGCTTGGTTTGCTTGCCACTGTATCGAAGTCTTTCCAAAATGAGTAGCTTCAACAGCAGAAAAGCCTGCTTTTATTGAGCTGAAAGTAAGAATTAAAAGGATATAAATTCAGCCAGCAAGACCACTTGCCCTTCTCTCTGACTTCTTACTTGAGTTTTAGCATAAGGAAGTGCTTTTTTCCATACTTGCATTGTTTGTCACAAGAACTTATCTACCTTCTTCTTTGTACTGGATGGTAAAGATGCTTTTGTTAAATTCCATCTTTAGGTAGTTTAATTTTAATTTATTTCACAAAAATGGATACCTACCATTTTAGTCACAGAGAAATGTGCAGAACCATAAAAACAGTATGATTGTTTTTGTCTGTTCTGTATTCTTACCTTTTTTGCTATTGGCAAGCGCTACTACTTTTGGTTGGTTAATAGAGGTTTCTATCAATGGTGGGCGCATTTCTGCTATTTTCATCTCTTCATCAGATGAAAGGTCTTCTGACTCCTGCAAACAGAACAGAAACAAAAAGAACCCCAAATTTATGCAGTATTCTGAAGAGGTTTGTTGAAAGAAAGTTAAGTGCAGCTCTATAATGGGTCATCCTGCAGAAAGCCCAGGGAAAGCAGATATTACAAATCATAGTATTGAATGCTTGCCTCCCATATTAGTTGGATATTTCATTTCTAGCTGACATTAACTGAATTTAGTTACTTGAACCGTGCAGCAGTGCTAATTTCAGGAAGTGGCACATGTGGACCTACCCTGAAAAGATTCCCAAGAGTTGCTCCCAAATTCCCCTAGTCTAGAAGAACCTACCTTGATTAATCTGGTATCTTCCATACCACTGGGTCTGTCCCCCATTCTACCACTGGTCAGGATACATGACTAAGTTTTACAGTAGTATGTTAACACTCTGGATGTTAAATAATAAATGCTTTCAATTTGTTGATTTTAAAGGACTACTTTAAGATTTGGGAATATGAGGCAAAGGCGTGATTCCCAACTACTACAGATTTTTTGCTCACTGTCCTTTTTTTAAATGGAAGAAATTCAAGACTATCAAGGACAAGGAGTGAAATCACACTGAAGTCAGTGGGAGCTTTAGCACTGACTACAAAATGTTCTTTATCCATAAATAAAATAGTGAGGCCACTATAAAAAGGAATAGCCCAAAAACTACACAAATCTCTCATCCTAGGTAAGAAACCACAGATAGAAATTTCCAGGCTGAATGGCTTTTTACTTGGATTTTTTTTTCCCCTTGGGTTTGGGAAATCTAACCTGCAGGATTTTGTTGGAAGCTATAGGGGCAACTCATTTTCCTTAACAAAGTCTAACTAATAGCTCTGTTCCACATTTCCTCAGGGTGTAGCAAGGAAGGATAATACCCTATTGTGAGAGTAACTGACGATTTACTGCCCCACCCCCTCCCTCTGCACCCAAAACAGAAATGCACTTCAGTGTAGTTGGGACAGTCAGTCTATCAGCTGTCTTTATCACATTCCCCTTTCCCCCTGGATTTTAATACTATACTAGATAACTTATTTGCATACAACAATTCAATGCCTCAATTCAGACAGAACTAAGCTAAACCTACTGAAGCTCCAGGAATCAATAGAAAATAAGGAATTTAATACATCATCTGTTTGAGCCTCTGGGAGCTGCTGTCTCCTTCTGTTACTGGCATACTACCTGCTTTGGACAGTTGCTGCTGTGATTGCTAAACAACCAACATGTTTCTCTAATATTAGGTCTGTGGATATTTTCTAAGGAAAATTTCAAAAAATAACAACATTTCTAGAAACCACTTCAGTGGCTTGTCAGAATGAGGAACATGCTAGTGGGAAAGTAGAGAGCTGACTCTAATTCCCAAGGGTGGCTCCAACAAAGATATGATATATATTTTGAACTGTTTAAATAACTGGGCTTTATCACATTTAAATCAGATTTTATCCTCCCCCATCCCAATTCAATTAGTTTCACAAGAAATGCACAAAAATAAAAACACATTTAAAAATTGTTATATCTGAGAAAAACTATGTTACGTTGTTAAAAAGCAGGTACATGTTTCACAGCACTACAGGTTAGACATTTTCTGCTACTGTCAATTTAATTTTCCATTTCTAGCTTTCAGAAGAAGAAATTTGATAAGACACTAACAAAGCTCTGACTGCTGGGTTGTGCATCACAATGCTGTACCTCAAGCATGTCTTCATGGTTGACTATTGTTTTTGTGTTCTTCAAGGTTTTAACATGCGCAGTCATCGGTGAATTTCCAGTGTTGTGCTCAGCTTCTGGTTCAGTGGGTTTCTGCACACAGTTTCCCATAGAATATTGCTTTCTGTCTTCTGTTTTGTCCTTTGCCGGAGCAGTTTCTGAAGTCTACAGCAGTTAAAAACAAAAGATTATCAGGGAAACAACCATGAACAGTTTATACATTTAATGTGGGTTTTTAAAATTAGAACTAGCAGTTTATATCTTGGGAAAACTATGCACTGACCAGCTCAAGGTCTAAAATACTTTCAGCTCTGAAGCAAATGCAAAAACAAACAAACACCATCTTGGCTTCATTTTCTTATCCAATTGTAACACTTATTTTCTATAGGCTTATTTTATTACTGTCCTTTTGGGGCTAAGACACCATTAGGTGTGGCAGCATGTATTGGCCAGGCTACTCTCAAACACATCTCACCTCCCCACTTAGACACTCTAAAACCAGAAATATGCATGTGAAGATGCTCCACAGTGTGTCTCTGTAGTGGCTTTCAAAACACTGGCCTCTAGCACGTTTACAAGGCTGTAGATGGATGCCCTGGAGCATCTTCACTAACGTATTTCCAGGTTGGGAGTGAAAAAAGTAAAAAATGGTACAACCAGAGCACACTGAATACATGCCTAAAATTATGATCCGAAATGTTGGACAAGGAAACAGGTAAACTGACACACATAAGCAGCTATCAACAATGTTCTTCCACTTCACTACCCATCTAATTCAACATGCATCTACCAAAAATAATCTACTACATACCTCCCTAATGTTGCCTTTCTAACTCCTCCTATAAACACTGTGGTCAGAAAGGGGAAAATCCAAGTCCTCTGAGCTTCAACTTAACGATGAGCAGGCAACAGATGCCTAGAGGTTCTGGAGATAACTTTATGGGGATCAAATTCTAATTGTGATATGCCCAACTTCTACTGGGCTGAGTGCTCCCTAGACTCAGAAGGCAACAGCCACAAACCAACCATTTGGCTGGCTCTTTAAAATGCTACATATCAAAAGTTCTGTTCTTTAATTTGAAATTTTTCTCATTGAAATATTTTAAGAAAAAACGCTGAATTAGAAGGATTAAGTCTATGTCTCAGAACTTTTGAATTTCTGCTAAAACTGGAAGAAGATATTGATTCTAACCTTTACACCCATGTCTTTTACTGAAACTTGCTGGCCTTCTTTGTTTGACTCTCTGCCAACATCTTCAGCAGTTTCTTCATCTTTCAGTCTATGCACAATTGTTTGAACTGTTTTGACCATATTCTTCAGTTCATCAGGATATGGTGTTGGATACCTCTTCAGATTACCCTCCTTTGTAACCATGGAAACAAACAACAATTAAAACAAATATTAAATAGGGTTTGAGTTGGACATAAAGCAATTTTAAGAAGTGCTGGACACCTATTTAGCCATTTGAGCATATTTAAATAAATGCTGGAATGCTGAAGCTGAATGTCCCAGCTCCCAAAAGCACAACTTTATTGTGTTACTGCAGCAATTGGCAACCATTTTGTAGCAGTGGGACAAAATTACCCAGTTTGGGTCTGAGCTCTAGGACCTGGCAGCTGCTGCCACCACTGTTTCTACTTGCTGTCCAGCTGTGGTATGGCTGAAGACCCTGTTGTCAATACTCTCCACTGATCCAACTGCATCATGTAGGCAAAACCCCTCACCATATGACTGTGGTGAGGCTCAGGCAAAGCCCCCTGGGTCTGCGGACTGGAGCCAATAAGTCTATGGGCTAAATCTGGCTGCCAATCCCTGATGTACTGCCTAGAAGCATGCCCAATCCTGCCTCTTTAAATGGTAGCATACATTTAAAGCAAGCCACAGAGGCAGCACTTAATTAGCTGATTGCTAATCAATGCAGACAGAGTTCTGCAGCCAAAGCTGCAGAAGAGAGAGGAAGAGAGAAAAAAGAATGACAATTTAAAACAGAGTTGAGAATACTGACCCTGGGTGGTGCCTCTCTTTCATCTTTGTCTTCATCACATTCAAATGCCACTTGGGCTCGCTGTTTTCTCTGTTCCTCCCACAAGGAGGGATTGAAACTTTCATTATCTGATATGAACATAACTTAGAAAAAAAGTAGTAGTAAATATAAGACACATTAAATCCCATGAAAAACTTTCTTTTTTTTTTTTATTAGGGGCAGGTTTATGCCTTTGCACCTATTTGTGAACATAAATGACTAGCAGTGACAGAAAATGAAGGCCAGCTACACAGTGAGTTACAGCATTATGTACTTGCTAGTATTCTGCTAACAGTGACAATTTCAGCCTTAATCTAAACAGGAAAGAAAAACTACCAAGCACCATATTTCAGTCTGAGTACTCTCACAGCTGTAACTCTCCTGAGCAGCCAACTGTAAAAATGATGCAGTCCCATTTTGCAGTATGGTCTACTACAAACTGATATGGAAATGCTAAATAGATTTCACTTAAATTGTTCATTACTGGAGCTGTACAAGCCTATCTGTCAAACACCTGCACCATGCAAGTTTCTTTAAAAAGGAAAAAAAGAAAAACCTAAGTTTAAGGTAGGCATATTGCTAAGCAGGGGTTATGCAAATTATGAACAGAGCTTTACAAAGTCTCCCATTATTGCTAGGGAGAGGAAAACAACATTTAGATTATGTTATTATTGCTACTCATTGCAGCATGGTTTAAATGACAGACATGGCACATGGAAATTATTATATTAAACACATCATTCTGTACTACAAAAATCCCCTGCATTCATGAACAACTCATGTCCCTAGGGGCTGGGGGAGCACAGCGAGCTCCCGCAGGTGGCGGCGGTGAGGGCATGGTGGCAGTGAGTAGGGAGCTCCCACAGGCAGCCGCAGTAGTGTTGGCAGCCGGGGTGCACCCCCTATGCATCGCCAATGCCTGCATTCTTCCTTTTCTTTTTCATGTCCTTGTGACAAAGTACTTAGTAGAATTCACAAATTTGCTGGAATCTGACAGGCCATGCCATAAGCACTTCTGCTATGGCCTCAAACTTGTGAAGTCTGGGCTGCCAACCATGCACCTTAGCACCCTACACCACCCCAGCCCTCCCCTGCATTCTTACATATCACAACAACAGCGAAGAGGTTTGTACATATAGACTAAAACTATTTCTCACGGTTGTTATGCTAGCAACAATGTCTAAATTAAATGACATTCCAAAGAGTTCCATGTATTAAAGGCACATTTTTAAACAAAAAGGCAACCTTCTGACATTTCAGGAAGGCTAACTTTGAACAGGAATTCAACTGATCTTATCTAAATTTTAAGTACATCATTACATAAACATTTCCCTCCCCCACTAAATTAACCTTTTGAATTCAACATACTTCTTTTAAAAACTTTCTATTTTTGATGTTGATCCCAGTCAAAGAGAAGTCTCTTGTGAACTCTTCTGAGCTAAACCACAGAATATTACATAGACCCTTCCTATTTGAAAAAAAGTGCATGCCCTTTGAATCGAGCTTAACATCACTAGCAAAAGACTTGCCTAACAGGCAGAAGCATGAAAAAAAGGATCCTAATACAGACAGAATCAATGCCATTTTTACATTTATTTTAGTAATAAATGTATAGTCACAGATGGGCGAATCCAGAGGGGTGCAGTGCCACAGCTGCACCCACCTTTTTTACTATACTGCAGGAGCAGGGACTATTTTTACTTAAGGTCCAAAATCAGGTAATCCCCACCTCCTACCCTTTCCCCCTCCATTCTCAGCACATCCCCTTCCCTGCCTGCCCATTGCTGCTGTCCCCAGCTGGTCAGGGTGAGAGAGGTTCCAGAGTCACTCTTGTCCTGCTCCAGCCAGGAACAGCAGCAGCAATGGCAGCAGCGGGTGGGTTCCTTGTCCCTGCCAGTCCCCTGGTGTTCCCTGCCAGCCCAGGAGCAGGCCCAGGACAAGTAAACCTATCTGTTG